GCACATGGCCGATGCTATAGTGTCGTCTTAGCGACTTTTGCTAGATGCAACTCGCATGTGTTGTTTCTTTTAGAAGAAGAATTGCGGGGCAACGCTAATAGGTCGCTAATTTTGTGTCGGAAATAATTCTGATGGTAATTCTGATGCTAATTTACAGTTTCCTGTAGTGCTTGGCATAGGCTAAGGAAGATTTGATCCATACTTGTTAGCTATCACCTAGAAAAACTCAAAGGAAAAATATTGATAGAACACTATACTTGTCTCATAGGAGCACGAGCCTCATCAATTCTGAAGGACTCAAAGTTGCACTATGTTTTTTTCTGCTACTGCCACTTTTGTTTACAATTATTTCTATTTATTGCTCTTTTTAGGATTATTAAAATTTTCATTTGTCACTCTGATCACTTCAAATTGGATTAAGCAGTTTAGTGCTACCACAGTAAGAAATATTTTGATGACTATCATCGCGGGATGCATATGCAGACTCTTTATCTATGTAATACTTGATTGATATGTGATTGTCCGATTGCTTCACATCGATACATTCCCTGACAACGATGCCAAATACTTGATGCCCAAAATTACAGTGAAACAATCAGTCAATCTTAAGAGTATTCATGTCGACCAACTAATATATAAATAAAGAGTGTGTGTATCAATCCCCTAATGATATTTGTAAAAATATTTTTAATTGGGGAAGTTTTAATGTACTAAACTGTTGAATCTTGTTTGAAGTGATCAAAGTGAACTAGGGCCAAAATTCTCCTCAGCTTAGGTTTATGTCATATTACAGTTAAGAGGGACTTAACCATGTAGCGTTTCCCAAGGTTCCTCTATCTCATTTCTAGTTTGCATTTTCCTAATGATAATATGTCTATTCCACCAGATTATCTAGAGTTGTGAATTTAACTCGAAGATCGTTAATCACTCAAAAGTTGATTCTAATTTTGGCTCGAATTGAGATCAGACTTAAATATATGAGCCGATCTACGAACTAAAATTTTGGATCAAATTTTTTTTCAAGCCGACCCCAGCTTGGCTTGAAATCAGATTGTTAATAGCCCTATCAATGTTAGGACTATGAATTTAGTTAATTTAGCTCAAAGATCATTAGTTGCTTGAAAATTGGTTCAAATTTTGGCTTCTTGCCAACAGTTAGAAGTCCTAGCTCATGAGAGATTTTAACTTCTTAATTGATCAAATCAGGAGTAAACGATGATTGAAAGGTTAACACATCAACTCATGAAAATCGAGGGCATGAAATATATTTTCTGGGAAAACCCATGATGAAAATAAAAAGAAAAATCCCACCTTTACATCACAAGAAGCATGAAAGAAGATTTGCTATGAGACATGAGATAGAAAAATATGAAAGATATCATTGAAAACATCGAAGATACATGTGTAAGAAAGTACAAAAATTTACAACCAATCCAAATGCTCTTTTCAATAAACCAAGTCTTCGCCATACATTGAAAAGCTCTCCACGATCTCCCTCACACAATAGCTCTAAGTCTCTTTCTCTCATACACAACCTCTCAACACTCAAAAGGAAAAGTGGCCCTAGGGGCTTCTCCCCCCTAAAGGAAGGAAGAAATCCTTAGGTTTTGGAGTAGAAACCCTAAGTCTCGTTGGAAAAAGCCTCCAAAGTGTTGTCAAGCTCCTCTAGGGTGTTCCAATGCATCTCCTTATATAACACTTGTGGAAATCACTATGAAAAAAATTGTCAAAATGAGCCTTCAACTTAGTTGTGCCCGTGTTTGACGTAACAATGCATAACTATGCATGGTTTTGACATAATTACTTCAGGCACAGAGAGACTGGTATAATTATGTCGTATCGTGGCGTAATCACGTCAATCCAATAATTTCACTTGCTTCGTGTTTTGGCTCCACAACTTCGAAAACAACGTAAATTCACCTCTTGTCACACCAGTTCTCATCATCACAAGTAATGTCTTAGTTGCTAGCTTACTCTTCTTTTATTCTCTGCCCTTCATGTGAAGAATGAAAACTTATTTATAGTTTTTAAAATAGATTTCAGTAAATTTGACCAGTATCCCAAAATATCCCATCAAACAGTTTGTGTTGATCCATTTAATTATGTCATTTTTCATCATTTAAGTGGCTTAAGAACCTCCTAATGAATAAATCTTGGACTTGTTGGATTCCTCTTGTTGAATTGCTCGATGTGACTGTACCCATGCTAATTACATATAAACATTTCTCAGCCTTCTAATTAATGTTCAAAGTTTTTAGTTATACTTCAAGTGCTTGATCGAGGCTTATATAGATTTAAAATTAATCACTTTAAGTGGTATCAGAACTTTATCATCGAGATGCTTACTTTAACCTTAGATTTATTAAAATGAGAGTATGCACCATCTTAAAATTGAATATGAAATACATTTTTATCTAAAATGTAGCAAACACACACACACATGAGCAAATGATGGCTCTCTCTCTCTCTCTCTCTCTCTCTCTCGCAATCAAGTTAAAGGTTTTTTTTTTTAGCTCTCTTAAAGTGCCCACATGGTTGACATGAGCAACGGGCCGTGCAGTGTCATTCACATGCATTTGTGCCTTCATTGTTGACTCAATCAATGGTCCCATTTAGTTCTCCCCACACTTCCCTCCAAATAAGGCATTCAATCTACCACTTTGATTCATTATTGAAACATGTGACATATTGAGTAAAATAATTGAATAGAAACAGTTATATATTTTGTTTCAAATTAATTGAAACATAAATAAAAAAAAAATCATTAATCCTATTTTTTCAGAAAAAAAGTTGACTAAATTAATAGTGTTAAAATAGTTCCAACTATTTATGCTGGGTCATTTTAATCCCAAAGTTTATAGATGAGTCAAAATAGTCTCAAAACTCTATAAATTGGGGTTAAAATAGTCAGCAAAGATGATTATTAGAGCTCAATTATATTATAATTGAAATTTATTTTGACTCTCTCTCTCTCTCTCTCTCTATATATATATATATATGAAAAATGAATGGCTAGAGGCTATTATACGAGCCTCCAACCACCCCTAATGTGCCTAACAATTCGAGTACCACATTTTTAAGGTCAACCGTCTCAGAGAGAATTCAAACCCTCGACCTCTGGGGACTTATACCGTAGATGTCAATCAACATGCTGTAGTACATAGCACCCTCTCTCTCTCTCTCTCTCTCTCTATATATATATATATATAAGCTGTACGTTTGCCAATCATCATGAAGATTCACTTAGATCTCATGAGATGAGTATATGTCAACATTATATGAACCTATCAAAGCTGTGAAAGACTATTCACTGACATTTTGTTCCGCCACCTGTACAAAATTGAAGGTCTATACTCTTTGTTCAAAGAGTGCCCCACCCTATATTTCAGCTCCAGCTTCCTTTGACATTTCACTCCCATTTTATTTATAAATCTCATATTATTATTATGTATTCAACTCAATTTTTATTTAAATTAAAATTGAATTTTTGGAATGCTATTTATCATTCATAAAATAGTCACACCATAGGCTTTGCTATAAGTTAATATATTTGATATATTTAGAAATGTTTGGGGGTAGATTTATAAATACATAAATGTTTAGTATGTAAATGCCCCTTCTAATATATTGAAGGCACTGCTATAGGGGCTTGGGAGGGGGGGCCCGATTCACAGTATATATATTTTAAGAGAATTTTGAAAATAAATATGTAATTTTTTAATTATTTTTTTAGCCTTTTTATTACATTTTCTGCTACTTAAAAATCTCTTATGTCCATAATTGTAATAAAAAAAATGGAATTTTTAGTGTCCTATATGTGCAGGATATGTCTCCAAACTTTAATGTATATTATGATCATCAAACTTATCACAATTATATTTTTAAAGCTCTTTTGTAATTATTTTTTTTTTCTACTTATTGAGTGATAAATCATAAATATTAATATATATTCTATATGCATTTATGGGTATATTTTCTACCATTTAATTGATTCTTCATTTATTTTTGGGAAATTTCACAATTTTCTTAATTTTATGGAGTGAAATTCAATGCAAATTTCTTTGGAATTTTAGAAGGAAAAATAACTATTAAAACAAAATTAAAATCAAATATTCTTTTTTTAAATTATATATGTCTCTAATAAGTCTAAGATCTATATATATAAGGAATTGTCAGAGACTATTATGTGAGCCTTCTCTAACAATTCGCTCGTCACCCCTTAAGGCCAGCTGTGCCAGAGGGGATTCTAATCCTTGACTTGAGGGGTCAGCGAACAAAGAGTTGTTCGTGTTCGGCTCGTTTGCAATTCGAGCTTTAAAAACTTGTTCATATTCGACTCGTTTACTTAAAGAACGAGCTGAACACGAGCTGATTCGCGAACAACGAACTTTTTTGACAGCCGTATGTGTGTGTGTGTTGAAATTTAGAATACTTAATTTTATTTCATTGATATAAATGGGGTTATAAATAACCCTTACTAAAATCCTATAATAGGAAAAATAATAAAAGGAAAATAATGTGAAAGGAAAGATATATCACTTGATATCTCCAATAATTAATTCATATTACTTATTAGGAGATATAGGAAATAATATAAAATGGGAAAAGAAATAATTCCTAATCTAAGGACATAAATATAAAATAGGAAAGGAAATATCTCCTTATTCCAAGGAAATAATTTATTCCTCATAACTTCATATATATATATAAAATGTTTTATAAGACATTCTTCTTATAAATCCTTAAAAGAATAATAATTCCTCATTAAATTTCATTCCCAACACACATAAAAATAAATATTTATTCTCCCAATCATGTTTTATTTTCAACATGTGACATGACAATGACAATCTACCAATATTTTACAGTCTTCTCCACCAATTAAAAACCAGATTACCCCTAATTTCATGCACATAAAATCACAAAAATTACACTCTCCCCCCTATAAATAGCAAGCCACCACCATGACAAGCTCTGCAAACCCAGCTGCAAAAATAGGCATGGGAGAACCAGAAAGAGAAGTCTATTATGTTTTCATGAACCATGATCCTCAGTATGAGCGTCTAAGACAAGACCGGTATGTATATATTATATATATTTATAATTATTTTCATGCTAAAAATAATATATAATTACTGTGTTGAGATTTGCAGATCTAAGAAAGGTGTTCAGTTGCTGAATAGATATCTAAGCAATAAGCACAAGCAGTTCTTGGCAAAGCTTCTGCTGCCAAATTCTTACAACAAGAAGTCATCTCTGGCCATTGTTGATGGTTTTGCTGTGGAAATAACCCAACAGCAGGTATTCATATTCTCAATATATATATATATACAGACTTCACGTGCTCAGATCAAATGGTCGGACATCTGCTTGTCAATTGTAAGTCTCATACGATCTGAGGTTCAAATCCTTTGAGTGTAAGGCGAGGTACACAAATTGTTAGGCATATTGGGGACGATGGAGGCTCTTACAATAGCCTAAAACCATTCCTTTTTTTTTAATATATATATATATATATATATCTGAAAATTATTTCATTATTCAAAATATATGCGTAGAAATTCGTGCGTTAGATCTATGTAATGAATTAACAATCTCATGAAACGTTGAAGATACATATTTAAATTGATGATGGTTAGGTTTTTCTTGGGGACAAAAATGCACTTTTTTTGTTTTATGATAAGTTTATACATATTTTAATCTAAATTTTTTGTCTTTATATATATATATATATATATGTATGTATGTATGTATGTATGTATGTATGTATATATGTATGTATGTAGATTTCATATTTTTGTAAGTTAAAATAGTAATATTTTATATATGATATGAAAAATTTGAGTGATATAAATGTAAAAAAATTCAAAAGTTTAGGAGTTAGATACGTAAATATTTACATAATGCATGTAAATGCCATAATTTTAATTATTAATTAAATTATTTGTCTCCAATGTGCAGGCAGAAATCATTAGATCTGCAAAGGAAGTGAGGGTGGTGGATAAGAACATGGAGCTTCCCAGTGGGGCTTAATTAGTGATTATTATATATAT